TGATTTTTTTTTTTTTATTTATTGAAGAGATGAGGTCTCGCTGCCCAGGCGGGTCTCGAACCCGCGGGCTCAGGCAATCCACTCACCTCAGCTTCCCAAGGCGCGGGATTACAGGCTGAGACACCGAACCCGGCAGATTCTTTTTTTTTTTTAAAGCAGGATTTATTGAGGGAACAGAAAAGCTCCCACAGTGGGAGGGGACTGAAGGGGGTTGCTCCGGGATTCTTGATAAAAAATAAGAATGCTGGCTACCTCCAATTGCAGGCAGGCTGTCTGGACCTTATTACCTTATTTATTATAGTTATAAATTTACACTATAAACATTAAGCATAAATATGTAAAAGTAGCAATAACTAAAGTGTTATATGAAAGTTTGATATGCAAAATGTAAAAATTACATAATCCAATATATAATCACACAATAGATACTATATATTATATAAAATGGAAACTATTTTATTGTAGTAAGGAATACATAATAAATATTACATTATATAACATACTGCAAACACAATTTTACTATAGTTAGAATGCACACATAAAATTATTATACATAAATCTAATTATACATATTTATAATCTAGTATCTAATAACATTCCTTTATCAAAAGTAATTTAAATTATCACATGGTAGCATAAAACAGTACTTCTGAGATTCATCCATATTGTGTCAACAAATCATTTTTTTATGTCTGAATAGCATTCCATGCATAGCTGTACTACAATTAATCATTCACCCACTGGGTTACATTTGGATTGTTTCCAAATTTTGGCAATTTAGAAACATTTGAGTACAGGTTTCTATGCAAACATAATTTTTCATTTCTCTAAGGGTAAATACCTAGGAGTGGAATTGCTGGGTCATATATTTATGATTAACTATTTAAGAAGCTGTCAAATTTCATCCAGACAGCACATACCATCTCACATTTCTACCAGTAATGCATGAAAGTTTCCATTCCTCTGCATCCTTGCCAACTCCAGGTAGTTTTTATTTTTAGTCATGCTAAAATAACGTGGTAGTGGTATCTCCTTGTGGTTTAAATTGTTTTTTCCTGATAATGATGTTCAGGTTTTTTTTTTTTCTTTAGAAAGCAGTATTTACTATGAGAATAGAAGAGCTCCCACAGAAGGGGACCTGAGGAAGTTGCCCCAGCACTTTTTCATCACCTTATTTTCCATTTGTATCTCATGCAACCATATGGGCGAATCTCAAATATATCACATTAAATGAAAGAAGTCATATTCGAAAAGATACACACACACACACACACACACACACACACACACGAGACTCCATTTATACAACATGTAGAAAAGGCAAAACTGTAGAAACAAAAAATAGGCCAGTGATTGCCAAGGGCGAGGAATGGGAGACAAATTTATTAAAAAGGGATAGAAGGAAAGTGGGGAGAGTGAGAAAACCGTTCCCTTTCTTGATTGTGTTGACTGCATGATATATGCCATTTTCAAAACTCTCAGAACTCTACATTAAAAAGGATATTACTGTATGTTTTTTTTTTTTTTTTTTTTTGAGTTGGAGTCTCACTCTGTCGCCCAGACTGGAGTGCAGTGGCGGCTCCCGGCCACCGCAGTCTCAACCTGCTGGGCTCTGGCGATCCTTCCACCTCAGCCTTCCAAGTAGCCGGAATTACAAGCATGCGCTACCATGCCTGGCTGATTTTTTTGATTTACTGTAGAGATGAGGTCTCGCTGCCCAGGCGGGTCTCGAACCCACGGGCTCAGGTAATCCACTCACCTCAGCCTCCCAAAGGCGCGGGATTACAGGCTGAGCCACTGAGCCCGGCTGGATATTACTGTATGTAAATTATACCTCAATATATCTGACATTAAAAATATTTGTTAAGTTCACGCAAAATCCTGCACACAAATTTTCTTAATCAACAAAATCTGGAATCAAGTCAGATGTCCTTCAGTAGATGAATGGAGAAACTATGACACAGACAAAGGAACACTATTCAGTGCTAAGAAGAAATGAGCTATCAAGCCACGAACAGACATGGAGGCAACTTAAGTTCACATGAGCAAGTGAAATAAATCTATCTGAAAATGCTACATAGTGTATGGTTCCAATTATATGACATTAAAGAGGCAAACTATAGGAAAAGTAAAAAGTAGCCAGAGATAGACAGGAGGAAGGGATGAAAAGGAGAATGCAGAGAATCTTTAGGACAGTAAAACTACTCTTTATGCTTCTATAGTAATAAATACATGCCATTGCTCATTTGTCTCAAACCATATAATGCACATCGAGAGTGAACCCCAATATAAACTATAGGCTTCGGCTGATAGTGTCAATGCAGGTGCATCAATTGTAACAAATATACCACTCTGGAGGGAGATGATTATGGGGCAGGCTATGCATAAGTTGGGGTAGAGAATATATGGGGAATGTACTTTCCACCCAGTTTTGCTGTGAACCTAAAGCTGCTCTAAAAGTTTATTATATATGTGTGTGTAGATACATATTTGTAGGTATTACAATGCTATGCTACAACAAATATAAAAGAGAGCTATCTCAAAGTCATTTACAATAAAATGTGGTTCCCTCCATATTTTCTAAAAATGAGGAGAGATGATACTCTTAGGAATAAGGTAAAAGGGAGATAATGAAAGATGACCAGACATTGTTCTGAGGTGAACTAAAAAGGGGGGATGGGTGAGGTAATTTCTCAAGTGTCAGCAGACATTGTCCTGTATTGGGAATAATGGTGGGTCACAAGACATCCTAAATAGTGAAGCCTCATATACAGCACTGGATGAGAAGGGAGGTAATAGTGGATCAGTAGATACTGGCCTAAGATGGGGAAGTAGGTAGAGGATCATAAAATACTGTGAAGGGGTGAGATGAAGAACTAACAATGGATCAGTAAACACTGATCTAAGACAGGGTAATGTGACATGTCATGAAGCACTGCTCAGTTAGTGGTTGGAAATTAAAAAGAAATCCCTGGACCTGCTCCCTTGACTAGGCTCTGTCCCTTGGTCACTACCCTCACTCCCTATGTTGCTCTTCACAAAGCAACAGCATCTCTGCACAGCCCAACTATTTCCCACTACCAGCACTGCCAATAGACTGGTCCTAGATAAGCCAGTCTGCACTTTCCAGGGGGGCATCCAGCAGATGAGTGTTCAATCAGACTATCTGCCAGCATTTGTGAGGCCACTGCTGCTTATCTACAGTTGACACCTGATATACAAAGATGATTGGCCCATCTGCTCTTGCCCCCAACCCCCATACTGCTAACTTCAGACACACCTCTGACTGCAGTATGATCAGGTATGTAGGCTGGGTTCTCAGTTAAGTGGGGCAACTGTTGAGTTACTTCTGAGGCAGGGCAGGGCAGAGCAGTGCATGCAGGGGGAAAATGAGTAGAGTTTTTGCAATCACTTTGGAGTTATGGGATTTTTGAAACATGGCAGGGACTCCTGGAAGCGAGCATTCACATTAGATTTCTGGTACCTGTTTACCTTTTTTACTTTTGAGTTGGAATCTCACTCTGTCGCCCAGGCTGGAGTGCAGAGGCACAATCATGGCTCACTGCAGCCTTAACCTCCTGGGCTCAGGTAATCCTTCTGTGTCAACTTTCTGAGTACCTAAGATTACAGGCACACACCACCACACTGGCTAACTTTTCTTTAGAGACAAAGTCTCACTATGTTGCCTAGGCTGGTTTTGGACTTCTGGCCTCAAGTGATGCTCCCACCTCAGCCTCCCAAAGTATTGGGATTATAAGCGTAAGCCACCATGCCTGGCCAGTTTTCCCTTTTTAAAAACAGACTAGCATCAGATTAAAAGGCTTATAATGACTTTTTAACTTTAGAGCTGGGAAGGAACAGTCCAGGTAAAAACTGGAGGTAAAAAAGCCAAGTGTGTTCTAGGCAAGTTGGTTCTCCTATTAGAGCCTCTTATGCCACAACTGAGAGAATCAGGGAGAAGTCATGCAATGAACAGTGCTCAACACTTCACAATATGCATTTATGAAATGGCTGCTGAATGGCAAGAATGGGTCTAGGTTCACAGTGGTGAACAAAATAGGGGGAGTACTGTAGTGTGGAAGCCATAAACATATAGGGTATTATCGTGGCAAGTGCTTTGGAGAAGAATAAAGGAGGAAAGGAGAGGGCCTAGAATTTTAAACCAGGCAGGCAGGGAAGGCCTGAGGAAAATATCATGGAAGGAAAGACATGAGGGCAAGCCACAGATATAATTAAAAATTGTGCTCTTTGTAGAGGACACCGCAAATGCAAAGGCCCTGAGGCAAGAAGTGAACTGATGTTTGAGGCACATGAGGGAGAAGGTCCTTGTGGAGTACATGACACAAAAATGAACAAAACTGACAATGTACATATAGTGTTGGTTAATATAAGTTACTGAATTATTATTATGAAAGACATATTATTAAGATGAGCAAATGAGTTAGAAAAACTAAGATAACAGAAGGGACATTTCAGTTAACCCAGGTGATCTGAAAACTCTTACCTTGGAAGCTTTTCTGAGGGTGGCGTGAATTCACATGACACTATGCTGGGGGTCAAAAGACAATGTGCTGAGGGTCTGTCAGGTTCAGAGACTCATGGTGGCTAATGGGGGGGTTATAAGCCACAGTGCTAGATGAAAATGTGGCTTCAATATACACTCTGAGGTTTGTGTCTGTATACAAAAAAATTTTTTATTCCAGTATCTCTTTTTTGATAGGAATACTCAATGGGATATTGGATATGAACAACTGTGTTAGATTCAAAAGATTGAAAAATAGTCAAGATTCTGTTAGATAAAGTATTCTGCAACAAATAACTCAGAGTATTTATCACTATTGTTTACATTAGTTGGTTTACCATTCGATTTGTTGGTACTACACCTATTCCACAGTAAACAGGATTATCATTAACGTAACTTAGTGCAACTTTTCTTATGAAAAATCTGGTAAGTGTTCCATCTTATTTTTCATGAGAAGGCTTTTTCTATGCACCAAATTGGCTCAATTTCTTGTCACTATAAACGCCCCAAGGTTTAATGAGATTGGTGACAATGTGAAAAAAGTTCCCTCGCCTAATTCAGTGCCTTCTCAGAGGCCCTCTTTTCAAAGTAATGTGTGACATTCTGATGATGGCATTTCTCTTATGATAATATACATATCCCTCTGCTGCATGGATTCAATAATGTACACTCAAACCTCTCCTCAATGAGGTTTTCTCAGTCTGTTTCAGTTGTGAACATTCTGATGTACATTGAGCAATGATTTCTGAACAAAGCCTTTCCCACAGATAGCACACTTGTAGGGTTTGTCTCCAGTGTGTGTTGTCTGGTGTTTATTCAAATTTGATCTGTTGCTGAAGGCTTTCCCACACTCAGCACACACATAAGGTTTCTCTCCTGTGTGAATTCGCTGATGCACCTGGAGCTGTGATTTTTTAGTGAAACATTTCCCACAGTCACTGCATTCATAAGGTTTCTCTCCAGTATGAATTCTATGATGTGTAATCAACTCTGACTTCTGCCTGAAGGTCTTTCCACATTCAGAACAGATGTAGGGCTTTTCTGCAGTATGAGTTTTCTGGTGTTTGCTGAGATTTGACCTGCCACTAAAGGCTTTGCCACACTCAGCACACACATAGGGTTTCTCTCCTGTATGAATTGGCTGATGCACCAGGAGCTGAGACTTGGAGGTGAAGGATTTGCCACAATCACTGCACTCATAAGGTTTCTCTCCTGTATGGATTCTTTGATGAGTAATAAAGTTCGACTTCCGGATGAAGGCTCTTCCACACTCTGTGCATACATAGGGTTTCTCTCCTGTATGAATTTTTTGATGCACAATGAGTATTGATTTCTGGTTGAAGGCTTTTCCACATTCATGGCATTCATACTGCCTTTCTCCAGTATGAATTTTCTGGTGAATATTTAGGTTGGATTTCTGGGTAAACGCTTTTCCACAGGTACTGCATTCATAAGGTTTCTCTCCAGTATGGATCCTCTGATGTGTTATCAAGTCAGACCTCTGAGTAAAAGCCTTTTCACATTTGGAACATACATAAGATTTCTCTCCTGTATGAGTTTTCTGGTGTGTAATGAGATTTGACCTGTTGGTGAATGCTTTCCCACATTTATTGCATATATATGGTTTTTCTCCTGTGTGAATTCGTTTATGCACATGGAGTTGTGAACTAGAAGTAAATAATTTCCCACAGTGACCACATTTATAAGGTTTCTCTCCAGTATGAATTATCTGATGTGCAATCAAGTGTGATTTCCGGATGAAGGCCAGCCCACATTTCATGCATACATATGATTTTTCTCCTGTATGAATTCTCTGATGTACTGTGAGTGTTGACTTCTGAGTGAAGGCTTTTCCACAGTCACTGCATTCATAAGGTTTCTCTCCAGTGTGAATTCTTTGGTGTATAATCAATTCTGACCTATAGGTAAAGGCTTTCCCACATTCAGTACATATGGAAGATTTCTCTCTAATTTGAGCTTTCTCATGTGAAATAAAGTTGGAACTATTGCTGAAGACCTTCTCATATTCAGTACACATATAGTGTTTCACTCTTGTGTGAATTCGTTGATGTACCTGAAGTTGTGACTTGGAAATGAAGGACTGCCCACAGTTACTGCACTCATATGGCTTTTCTCCAGTATGAATTCTTCGGTGTGCAATCAGTTGTGTCTTCTGGATAAAGGCCTGGCCACAATCAATACATATATAGGATCTCTCACCTGTATGAATTTTCTGATGCATCTTGAGTGCAGACTTTTGTGTGAATGCTTTGCCACAATCACTGCATTCATGGTGTCTCTCTCCAGTATGAATTTTCTGATGTATACTGAGATCTGAGTGATAAGGGAAGCCTTTTCCACATTCCTTGCATTCATAGAGATTTTCTCTGGTATGAATTCTCTGATGCCTGAAGAGAGAAGATACTTGGAAAAAGGATTTTCCACATTCATTGCATTTGTAGGGCTTCTCTCTAGTGTGGGTTTTCTGATGTGTAATGTATTCTGTCTTCTGTACAAAAGCCTTCCCACATTCCACACATACATAAAGTTTTTCTCCTGTATGAACTTTCAGATGTACCCTGAACTGTGACTTCTGGGTGAAGATCTTTTCAAATTCGGCACATTTATAGAATTTATCCCCAAGATGAATTTTTTGATGCTGAGAGGATACTTGTTTATAATTGATGATTTTTCCATATTGATTATGATCCCATAATTTCTCTCCTGTTGGAGTACATTCATGGTCAGTATAGGAAGACATTTTACCATATTCAGAAATCTTTTAATATTCTGTGACACATTATTTTCATTTTGACTGTGCAAATCTATATTATGCTTCAAACCATTTCTAAAAGAGTAAACTGATGCGGTCTTTGAGAGAGGAAGAAATAATGTTTGGGCTCACATGAATTATTCTTCTACAGTTCTTATATTCATATTGTCTCTTTGTAATCAATATTTTCTTGATGAAAGCAACATCACTTAAAGATTTACTTTATCTTTGCTAATAGCTCTCTATCTGGTGGTCATCAATCTGCCACAATTCTTCTAGCATGAAACTTAACCTCACATCATTTCTATCACCACCTCGCCTTTCAATGTAAAAAGAAACCTTTTTATTTTTTTCCTAGAGAATCCCTAAATCGCTGTAAGGTTTGAAACTCAAACTTCCCTTCTGGAAAGATAAACAAGTGATTTTTTTTTTTAGCTCAAAGAAAGAAGCAGAGACTAGAGGGAGGGTACAAATGGTTCATCCAGGTTAAACACAATAAAAAGGGGTAAGGGTGAGTCATTTGATGAGAAGGTTGGCAACAGTATCAATAGGAAATACTCTGGGATACAATTCAGCAGTTAAAGAAATAAACTAAATGAACAAATAGCACCTTGGATAGATGTGAAAAAAGTAAGACCAAGAACAAGATATATAGCATAGTAACATTTATATAAACTGGTGATATATACCCCTAAGTTACTTTAAATTTTACAATATGCACACATGATTAAAAAATGTTTCCACCATGTAAAGCAGTGCTTTATGGTGGGAAAGGAGATGGGTGTGGCAAAAGAGATAAGGGAATATATTACAAAAATAAAATAAGAGAGAATCTTCACCCAGACTCATGATGATACTGTGTCCTAAACTGAGGTGGTTAAACTGAAACCTCAAGTGAAAGACAAAAATAAAGCAGTAACAAACAAACAAATAACTAATCAGGTAGTAGACCCTCGTCAGTGTGGACTCAAACAACATTAGAAGAAATGTCAGGAATAATGTCAAATATTGCAGAAAGGTACTTCCAAATATTACATGACAACGAGCTCCATATTATCATTAGGATGAAAGCATGGAAAACTGGGAGAAAGTGAGAAATCCCCAAGCAGTTTCTATGGAGAAAATAGGAGGAGAACTTAACTGGAGATAAGGTTCTGAGGCATCTCACAGTGAGACAGAAAGAAAGAAAAGGGGAATAGCAGGAGTGGGAGTGTGTGACATAGTAATATTGAAAGAAAGCAGATCCATGAATGACTGAATGTATAACAAAAGACTCTAAGTCTATGGGAAAGGTAGAAAAAAACAAGAATGTTAGAGAAAAGAAATATAACCAAGAAAGAAAGAGCTTTAATGAGGCAGACTGGCCGGGCTCGGTGGCTCAGCCTGTAATTCCACGCCTTTGGGAGGCTGAGGTGAGTGGATTGCCTGAGCCCGCGGATTCGAGACCCGCCTGGGCAGCGAGACTTCATCTCTACAATAAATAAAAAAATCAGCCGGGCGTGGTAGCGCATGCCTGTAATTCTGGCTACTCGGAAGGCTGAGGCAGAAGGATCGCTGGAGCCCAGCAGGTGAGGCTGAGGTGGCCAGGAGCTGCCACTGCACTCCAGTCTGGGTGACCGAGTGAGACTCCAACTCAAAAAAAAAAAAAAAAAAAGAGGCAGACTGGTACATGCTTCAGAACCCAAAACACCAACAAAGGGGGCAGAAATGACAAAGGTCCTCCAGGTAGAAAGCATTAAGTTATCTGAAAGGCCAACATCAAGCAATACAATTTAGAACCTTCCAGAAGAGTCATCTTAATATCATTTCAAAGGTGCCAGTCTTTCATAAGACAGCTGAAATTTCTTCCTTGGTCTCTCATCTACCTGAGTCTCACTCACCTGGACAGCTCTGATGTGGGCTCTCACGCTGCAATGTCCATGGCTCCTTTCCTTGCTCCAACATGAAAACCTCTGGTTCAGGAACTTGATACCCTGCTTATGGGAAATGATAAAGGTCTGGGTCCAGATAATTATGTTTCAGAATCCAACCAATAAAGTCTTACTGTTCAATGAATGTCTGTTTTTTATAAACCATATATTTCTGAGAACAGAGCAATATTCTAAGTGCCAAAGAGACTGAGAATCCTAGATAAATCACGGACAAAACCATCACCTACTTGAGATGCCTTATAGCATTCATCAACTGAGAATGGAAACACTCTCAGTGAGGCCTCCTTTCAGATACTAAGATGACTGTGCTTACCTACTGAGAGCAAGTGGTTGTAGGTCTCCAGCATCACATCCTGGTATAGGTTTCTCTGAGAAGGGTCCAGGTGCTGCCATTCCTCTCTGCTGAAATCTATAGCCACATCCCTGAAGGACACTGATCCCTGTAAGGGCAATTCCTATTCAATGTGAATAGTTACCTTTGGGGGATGGAGAGACTATATTTAAGAATATAGAATACAGCTTTTGTTCTTTTACATTTACCTCTTTTTAAAAACCTGCTCCCCATTTCCCTAATATTTTGAGAATTTTCAAATATATGAAAAACTTAAGAGTTGTACAGCAAAAACCTGCATGCCCACCACTTAGAATCTATCATTACCATTTTACTCTACTTGCTTTATCATACACTGATCCATTTTATATTTTCTGTGGATTTCTAAGTAAATTGCAGATATCACTACACTCCCAAGCACTAAAAAAATGCAAGTCATTAACTAGAGTAGAATAGTTGTTTACCTTTTTAAGGTAAAATTTACACACAATGAAATGCAACCATCTTTAATATATCATTAGAAGTTTAGATAAATGTATACACCTGTGTAATACAGGAACTTTAAGAAATATTTCATATAGTGTATTAAATATTCAGTTTTACATATTTTGTGGAAGACAGAAATCCAATAAAGAATTTCTGCTATTTGTACTACACTATAGTCAACCAATTACTCATTTTTCAAATCTGGTATTTGAAATAGGTTCTCCTTTTACTCTTCTAGCAACTAGATAAATGACCTGTGATACATTTTCTGAGAAGTTTAGGAATAGCCATTATATTAGTCTGGGGAAAATATAAGTGAACTATTTATGTTTCTAATTTCCTTGGGAAATTAACCACCGAAGTTTGAAAAAAAGAAGGCAATGAATAACCAAAACAATCCTCAGCAAAATAAACAAAGTAGGAGGTATTATACTTCCAGACTTTAAACTTTATTATAATAAGGCTGCAATAATCAAAATAGTCTGATATTGGTACAAGAACAGGCATATAGACCAATGGAATAGGATAGAGATTCTGGAAGCAAAATCCCAATTTCTTAACCAACTCATCTTCAACAAAACCTTCACTAACAACCACTGGGTAGAGGAACTTATTCAGTAAATGGTGCTGGAAAAAAAAAAACTGGCTGACCACGCGCAGAAGATTAAAACAAGACCCCTTCCTATCACCATATACAAACATCAACTCTAAATGAATCAAAGACCTAAATGTAAAACCTCAAACTACAAGAACCTTAGAAAACGCAGGAGACACCCTTATGGAAATTGGAACTGGCAACCAATTCCTGATCTAAATTCCAAATGCCCATGCCATAAGAGATAAGATAGACAAATGGGACCTCATCAAATAGACAAGCTTCTGAAAAGCCAAAGAAACCATCAAGAGAGTGGGGAGACAGCCCATAGAATGAGAAAAAATATCTGCCAACTGTATTTCTGACAAAGGCCTAACATCCAAGATCTACAAGGAATTCAAACATGCCAAAAAGAAAACAAAAAACAGGCCTATTACAAAATGATCAAAAGATAAGAATAAGAATAGACACTTCTCAAAAGAAGATATATGAGCAGCCAACAGATACATTAAAAAATGGCCAGGCTGGGCACAGTGACTTAGCCAGTAATCCCAACACTTTGGGAGGCCAAGGCAAGAGGACTGCCTGAGCCTAGGGATTTGAGACCAGCCTGGGCAATTTGGTGAGACCCCGTCTCTACAATTAATCACAAAAATTAGCTGGATGTGGTGGCATGTACCTGTTGTTCCAGCTACTTGGAAGGCTGAGGCAGAAGAATCACCTGAGCCCAGCAGGTCGAGGCTGTGGTGGCGGTGAGCAGCGTGCCACTGCACTCCAGCCTGGGCGACAGAGTGAGACTCCAACTGAAAAAAAAGAATGCTCAGCCTCACTAATCACACTGAGATACCACCTAACGCCAGTCAGGATGGTCATCAATAACTCAAAAAACAAAAGATGCTGGAGAGGATGTGGGGTAAAGGGAATACTTCTACACTGTTGGTGGGAATGTAAACTAGTACAACCTCTGTGAAAAACAGTTTGGCAATTCCTAGAAGAGCTAATAATCAACCTTCCATACAACCCCGCAATCCCCCTTCTGGGAATATACCCAGAGGAACTCAAAGCATTCTACAAAAAAGATACCTGCGCAGGCATGTTTATTGAAGCACGATTCACAAAAGCAAAAACATGGAACCAACCATGCTGCCAATGAAACTGGACTGGATTAAAAAAATATGGTACATATACACAATGGAAGATTACTCAGCCATAAAAAAAAAAAAAAAAAAATGAACTTTGCAGCAACTTGGATGAACTGAGTCTATAATACTGAGTAATCTATCACAGAAACAAAGAACTGAGTGTCCTAGGTTCCCACTCATTAGCAGACCCTGAACAATTATCATAATACTACAAGAAAGAGATTGGCAGTAGTGGGAAACTGCCGGGCATGGGGGGCACACCTCATCAATAAGGGTACCTGATCTCAAACGAGGTGAAGTGGGGACCAAATTGAGGCCCAAACTTTACCTACACAATGACTTTGCGTATCTAGCCCTGAATTGTATAAAATTTAAATTGTGTAAAATTTTTAAAAAGAAAAAAAAAAAAGGAAGGCAAAAATTCATCAAGGTGTTGAAAGGTAAACCTCTATGTGGAATACAGAGGGCCCAAGAGAAGAAAAAATGACTTCTACGTCATGGAGTCAGTTATTTTACCACAAGGTTGAAGAATTTAAGTTCGAAGATAAGCCAAGTAATACAGAACATGGGATGAGGAGGACACTTTCCAGAAAAGACAGGAAACAAAGGTAGAGAGACAGGAAAATACAGAATGAGTTTAGGAAACAACAAATAACAATATATAAATGGAGAGAAGACTGCATAATGTGTCAGAAGGGTAGTTATAAGAAAAACTGTCTGATTATAGACAAGATTTTTTTACTTTAAGAAAAGATAACTAAGGTAATTAGATTTATATCTTAAAGGAACTTTTTTTCTACAGGTTCTTTATTGTAGGATAACAAATCAGCTGACAAGAAGAAGTTCTTTGTAGATTGAATCTAGCTGATAAAGAAGTTAGGATAAAATTAAAATATCATCATTTACCACTACTAAAGAAATAAGAGATGTAGACAATAATCAATAATGGCTGCTCAAGTCTTTCAGTTGGCAGGCTCAAGAAAAGTTTTCAATGAATGCATCAGTTAATAATGTCTGCATCCACTAAAGCAAATATCATGTGCCTCCTGACATGATACAATAATTAATTTAATTATACCACCTATGAAGTATTCTTGCCAAAAAAATAATTAATTAACCCAAAATCTCATCAAGCATCCAGACCTAACTCACTGTGAAAAGTGTGAAAAAGGCAGGAACACACTGAACAATATGAAGAACCTGTAAATTAGCTGATATAAACTATTGGTTAAATCCAGGAGGTAGCAAATGACTATTTCTGTAAAAAAATAAATAAATAAATAAAACAATGACAAGAGAAAAAAGATGGATGGTAGTCTTTTCTTTATTAAAATAGCCTTAACTAACCAAATACAACTTGTGAGCCCTGTCTGACTCCTAATTAAAATGAACCAATATTAAGGAAATATTTATGACACATTTAGAGAAATTCAAACAATGGGTACTGGACTGTATGAAAGAACTACTGTGATTTTGTTTTAGATGTGACAATGGCTTCCTAGTTATGCTAAACAAAAAGAAAAAAAGAAAGAATTTTCACCATGAGAGATACATATCTCAGTATCTTTACAGAAAACATAGTATTTGAGATTTGTTTTAAAATAATACAGCAGGTGGGTAGGAGGGTGGTTTTAGATGAAATAAAAATGGTAGAACATTGATAACAACTGAAACCGGGTGATAGGTACAATAAGTAAAAGAGTTTCTTATACTAGTCTCTTTATACTTAAAATTTGTACATACTTAAATTTGGAAATGCATAGTTGATAAAATGGCTATTTCCACCTGAAGTTATAGACATTTATTTTTAATTTTAATTTTTATAGAGACATGGTCTTGCTATGTCACCTAGGCTGGTCTTGAATTCCTGGGCTCAAGCAATCCTCCTGCCTCAGTCTCCCAAAGTGCCAGGATTACAGGCATGAACCACTGTGCCCAGCCAGTTATATACATTTAAAGAAAGTATACTAATGACTTGAACACCCTCACACCCAGCAATTTACAGAAATACTAGAAAGGAAATCATAAAGGATACAGAAGAAGCAACGTAGCTAGGTGATACGGAAAGAATACTGCAACCAACAATACAGCAGAATACACATTATTTTCAATCTCTCATAGAAAAATGACCAAGGCAGACCATATCCTAGGCTGTGAAACAAACCACAAAAAATTTTAAAGAATTAAAATAAGACAAAGTATGTCCCATGAGGGAATCAAACAAAAAAATCAGTAACAGAAAGAAAGACAACAAAATATCTCCAAGGGAATTAGAAAATAATAATAAGAGCTATTTTAAAAAAACAACAAAACACTTGGAAGTTAACAACACACTGCTAAATGACCTATATATAATTCAAAGAGGAAAGTTCAGAATTAATTTTAAAAATACATAGAATTTAAAGAAGGTAATCTATCAAAATATACTGTATACAGACAAAGCAAGACAAAAAGAAAAACTTATAGCACTAAATGCTTGTGTTAGAAAAAAGGAGAGGTCACAAATCAATATAAGTTCCTATTCAAGAAACTAAAAAGGAAGAGCAAAACAAACCCAAAGTAAGGAGAAAAAGAAAAGTATAAAAAGCAAAAATCAATGCAACCGAAAAAAAATATATAAATAAAACACAATCCAGTTGGTTGTTTGGAGGAAAAAAAACTAATACAATTTTTCTGACTAACCTATTAGTCAAACACACTGACAAAGACACAAAACACCAATGTCAGGAATAAAACAGGAGATATCATTATAGATCCAGCAGCCACTAAAAAGAAAATAAGGCTGTGCTCGGTGGCTCAGCCTGTAATCCCAACACTTTAGGAGGCCGAGGCGAGTGGATTGCCTGAGCCAAGGGTTGGAGACCAGACCGGGCAACTTGGTGAGAC